TTACATTGAATGGAGTATCAAAGTCATAAACCAATCAATACCGTTAAACTTTACTGGTCTTCCAAGTGAGTCTGTGACATAGATTCTCATTTCAGCAATGTTAAATGATGACAGAGTACAATATAATGGTCTTCTAGGTTCAAATGTAAATGGAAAAGACCTTGTAAGATTATCTGTTGGAACCACAGCAATGGTATTTGTATTTATTCCATTTACAATGCTATTAGTTTTTTTGTGATATTTGGTAGTTTTGTTCCATACTCTGTTTTTGTCACAATTTTTTTTCAAACCCAATTAGTTCTCCAAAATCTGTTCCTCTCAGATCAATTTGATAATCACCATCAAGTGATATACGAACTCTATATGTGGAGAGAACAAAAGTTAAATTAATTGAATACTTTTTTCTCCTTTGAAATCTGTTGTGTGATGATTTTTTTGAGTCATGTATTGATGAATGTAATCATTAATATCTGAGTAGGAATACATTCCATCTGTAAAAGTAATTGTTTGCCAGGTGGATCCATCATGTGTGTATTTGATTTTATTGTTTCCATAATCACTTCTAATGTTGTACCAAGGGTAAGTCATGGACAACCGATCAAGAGCAAGTTCGTGTTTCATTTCAGGGTTAAGTTTCAGAGGTGGATTAAACTTGATTGTAAAATCACCAGGTCTGCTTGTTCCTCTTTTTTCCTCGATTTACTGAGGAAATGTGGATAGCTCGTTCTTCCATTTTTATTTAATGAATATATATTTATATACGGCGTAGCCAAGGAAAGGGGTAATAGGGGGAAACGTAGTTTTCCCTATGATATATAATTTTTTAGTAAATCATTTAGTTGTTTTTTTGAGATCACTTTCATTTGGTTGAGAAGATGTGCTATTTGAGAAAACTCAGGTATCACACCATTATTCCTAGCAAGAATTGAACCACCAAGTAATTCAAGTCTGTCTAGAAGTTGATGTGGGTTGTTAAAGTAAAAAATCCCAGAGCCAGATTTTATTTTATAATACTTAAGGTTATTTAAATTTGTTGCATATACGCTTAATACGTTGTATTTACTTATTAAATCTAATGTGTTTTTCTGTGGGTTTTTATTTATTGGTTTAGCTAAAACATAGCCGTTTGGATCACGTGTAAAAGATGCAGTATTTTTTATTGATGGACCAAAAATTACTAAATCACTATTAACATCATCAATTACATTGTCAATGGTAGAAATATCCTCTTCAAAATATTCAGAAGGGAGTTTGTGGTATTCAATAGTTTTTAGTATATCTTGTGCTTCTTTACTGATTAAATTTCTATCGAGGTCTTCAGCTTTAAATTTTGCTATTTTTGGTTCCTTTTTTGTTGGGTGAGGTAAAACTTCATCATCATCATCTTCTTTAGGCTCTTCTATTGCTTCAAAACCAGGTAATTGCATCCAAATCCCATCTTTTTACATCATCCATTTTATCAAATCCTTCAGTTATAGCTAGTCTGTTTTGATTAAGACCTTGTGTAAGAGCAAGTTGATTAGCTTGAAGTTGTTTTATTAATGAGTCTTGCTGATCATCAATACTTTTTTTAATGCTATCTTGAGATTTAATAAGTGGTTTAAATGTCTCTTTAAATCCTTTCCGAGCATCTTGTTTTTGCCATTTTGTTATTTTTATTAAATCTCTCACCTGTTTAGTCAAATCATCAGCTTCAATTTTATTTATTGCAAGTTTTTTGTATTCTTCAACATTCATTTTATTTAATCATTATATAAATGGAAATACCAAACTATGATACCAATGACAACGCAGATAAAAAATACAAACAATTATACCCTTACATGCCATCAGTCACTTTTCGAATGTTAATTTGTGGAAACAGTGGAAGTGGTAAGACTAATTTGTTGTACCACATGTTAATTAAACCACTGTTGTACTATGATGAGATTTATCTTTACGCGCGTAATCTAGAACAGGATAAGTATCAAAAGTTAATTCAAAAAATGAGGGAGTTCAGTAGTCAACTAGGCTATGAAATACTTCATGTGAGTAATGATGAAATAACCCCAGTGACAGAAATGGAATATGAAGACAACCAAAAGCTTGTAATATTTGATGACTACGTATGTGATAAAAATCAAAGACAACTGATTGATTATTTTATTCAAGGACGACATAAGAATTGCTCTGTAATTTACCTAAGTCAATCATTTTACAAAACACCCAAAGATATTCGGCTAAATTGTTCTCGCTATTGTTTGTATGAATTTCCATCATCTAGGGAAGTAAATAGAATATCATCTGAGTTAGGAGTTAATAAAGGAGATTATAAAGCAGCAACTAAAAAACCGTATTCATTCCTATACGTTGATAAACCAAAAAACGTATTGCAAAAAACTTTATTGGTAATATAACTAATAATTAAAATGGGAATATTTAACGAGCAATCTTTTGATAATCCTTTTGCTAGAGGAATTCAGGGTGCTCCAGGAGTTGGATTTAGTTTAACTTCAAGTGG